TCCACCAGCTTCTCTCGCCTCCCTCCTCCACCACGTTCTCCCATCCTCCTTCTCCACCACCTTCTCCCTTCTTCTCCCTTCCTCCTTCTCCAGCAGTTCTACCCCTCCTCCTCCACCACCTTGTTCTCTCCCCCTCCTCCTCCACCACAGCTCCTCTCTCCCCCTCCTTATCCCCTTCTCCCCCTCCTAATTCCCACCAGCTCCTTCTTCCCCCCTCCTTCTCTCCTTCCTCCTTCCTCACAGCTTCTCCCCCTCCTCCACCACACCTTCTCCCTTCTCCCCCTCCTCCCACCTTCTCCTTCTCCCCTCCTCCTTCTCCAAGCAGCTTCTCTCCCCTCCTCCACCACCTTGTCATTTCTCCCCCTCCTCCTCCACCAGCTCCTCTCCCCCTCCTTATCCCCTTCTCCCTCTCCCCTCCCTCCTACTCCACCAGCTCCCTTCTCCCCCTCCTTCTCTCCTCTCCTCACTTCTCCACCAGCTTCTCCCCTCCTCCACCACCTTCTCTCCTTCTCCCCCTCCTCTTCTCCCACCAGCTCTCCCCTCCCCCTCTTCCACACCTTCTCTCTTTGCCCTCCTCCTTATCCACTAGCTTCTCCCTCCTCCTTCGCCAACATCCTCTCCTTTCTCCCTCCTCCTTCTCCACACCTTCTTCCTTCTCCCCTTCCTCCCTTCTCCACCAGCTTCTCCCTTCCTCCTCCATCACCTTCTCCCTTCTCCCCTTCCTCTTTCTCCACCAGCTTCTCCCCCCTCTCCTTCTCCACCAGCTTCTCCCCCCTCTTCCTCTACCACCACCTTCTCCCTTCTCCCCTTCCTCCTTTCTCCACCAGCTTCTCTCCCTCCAACCACCTTCTCCTTTCTCCCCGCTCTCCTCCACCAGCTTCCTTTCTCCCCCTCCTAGTATCCCCTTCTCCCTTTCTGCCCCTCCTCCTCCACCAGCTCCCTTCTCCCCCTCCTTCTCTCCTTCCTCCTTCTCCACCAGCTTCTCCCCCTCCTCCACCACCTTCTCCCTTCTCCCCCTCCTCCACCACCTTCTCCCTTCTTCCCCTCCTCCACCACCTTCTCCCTTCTCCCCTCCTCACCACCTTCTCCCTTTCTCTCCCTCCCTCCTTCTCCACCAGCTCTCCCCGCCTCCTTCTCCTCCACCACCTTCTCCCCCCTCCCCCTCCTCCCCCACCTTCTCCCTTCTCCCCCTCCTCCACCACCTTCTCCCTTCTCCCCCTCCTCCACCACCTTCTCCCTTCTCCCCCTCCTCCTTCTCCACCAGCTTCTCCCCTCCTTCTCCACCACCTCTCTTCTCCCCCTCCTCCTTCTCCACCAGCTTCTCCCCCTCCTCCTTCTCCAACACCTTCTCCCTTCTTCCCTCCTCCTTCTCCACCAGCTTCTCCCCTCCTCCTTCTCCACCACCTTCTTCCTTCTCCCCTTCCTCCTTCTCCACCAGCTTCTCCCTTCCTCCTTTTCCACCACCTTCTCCCTTCTCCCCTTTCTCCTTCTCCACCCGCTTCTCCCTTCTCCCCTTCCTCATTCCTAGCCATATTGAGTCGGCCATACGGCCGCCGTGCGTATCGCCATATTGAATCTTATCCACACGGCCGCGGAGCGTATAGCCATATTGAGTCGGCCACACGGTCGCCGTGCGTATAGCCATATTGAATCTTATCCACACGGCCGCCGTGCGTATAGTCACTTCATAACAGGCCCGGGGCACTATTGAGCTGTAGCGAGGGCACTATTCCTCCCCAAAGCAACACTATGAGAGCATAGAGCCCCCAACAACAGGCATTAATGTATTTAGTGCATCACATGACTTTGCAATCTACTCGGAAAATATAAATTGAATAAAAAAATCTGGAGCGCTCCATATGTTGTTGTCGTCTGACTGATAACAACGCTGGTCTCGCCACCTGTCGATAACTTAGGAAAACTGCTACAGGTAGGAGAAATTGAATTCGAATTTTGAAATTGAATTCGAACAATGTAAATAACAATGCATAAATGCAATAACATGAATAACAATGCGTCGCGCAAGCAATAGTGCCCGCTCTATTGTTTCATATAGTACCTGCGACGTTATCCAATGGAATTTCAACGATTTATCACGTGATGCACTAATAACATTTACTACCTGCACCATTGTTAGTGGCACGTTTACCACCTCGTGTTAATGTCTTACGGCCGTTTATCAAATACGAAGCATGCAGACACGGCCACTTGAAACGTGTCAAACATAAAATGATGGTAAATAAGCACGAAACGTATTTACTACCAGTGTTTTTTCTCTACTCTCTTTCGCTTATTATTAGTAATAATTTCCTGTAAATTCCGTTGAAATGCTCCGCTGCAACACACAAGGTCGCAGCATGCGCGTCACTGTGCACAAACAACAGAAGTATCAGAGAGCATACAGAGATAAATTGTTAGAGTCTAATTTGTTTGATTGCGCACAGCGGCGTGTGGGCGGTGAGATTACGGGTTTGCAAACGATAATTTGAACGGCATTTACGTGGAATTATTAGTAGATATAGAGAATGCACAAACATTGAGACTTGGGTATTATATAAATTTCGCGTATATTTACCATCAATTTATTATTGAAACGTTCCAAATACCTGTGCATATAGATTGGCGGGAGCACACGCACGACTCGAGATAAGCAGTGACGTCATAGATAGTTGTTGATGTAGCGCTCGTGATTGATACGACAGAAGAAAGTTACCAGAAAAAAGAAATTAATACCTGCCGGTGGACGTCGCCGTTGCGAAATATCGGTTCGAACTTCCCGACATCCAACCGCAAATACTCGCAATGAGTCGCTGTATAAACCCCCCACAGACACATTTGGGACGTGCGTACACGCGTGCGATCCAGCCAACGGAAGCCCACAGCTGCGTACCTCAGTGGAACTATCTGCATAGATAAATACGCATAGGTGGTCAGGAGGCAGCGCCGGGCTATACTTTAATAACTACAGCAAAGTCCAATCATTATACTTAGCATATGACAAGCCGTGCTCAGGTGAATGGACAGCAGGAGGTACAGGGCATTGAACGAAATAGTATATGATATTTGCAGATGCTGTTCACCTTTATGATTCCGTTTGATCAAACAAGATGTTATATAGAGGTTACCTGTAAGGCCCGGAGATGACTAGCCATGCAGGAGTAGGTGAAGCTGTTCATCGCGTTTAGACACTAACATGCCTGAGACTTTCAATTATTGTGGCGTTGCCACTGCGCGTATGTCGCCACACACACACACACACACATACACACACACACACACACACACACACACACACACACACACACACACACACACACACACACACACACAAAGTCCCACACACACACACGCAGTAATGCACACGCTGACACGACGCACTACGCAACACGCACAGGCACACGCACACGGCACACGGCCCAGGCACACGCAACACGCACACACACACACGCAGCGCACGCACGCACGCAACGCACGCACGCACGCACGCACACACACGCACACACACACACACACGCACGCACGCACGCACGCACGCACGCACGCACACACACGCACACACACACACACACACACACACGCACACACGCTCACAGAGAGAGAGAGAGAGAGAGAGAGATACACATGCGCGCGCGCAAGCAGGCAAGCATGCATGTCCGCACATACCGGGCATGTTTCTCTCTAATGGAGTTTTTTTCGTGCTTAACTACAAGCTTCTTCTCGTATGCCTAGCACAAAATTAAGGTTTGGATTTAGAGGCAGTTGTCGTGCGTTGTTCACCCCTATAACTCCGTGACAACAATCCGCGTTTAATCGCCTTTAAATATAAAGTATCCTGGCAATTTTTCATCACTCTGTTGAACGATTTAATTCCATTAAATCCTCTACTAAAACATAGTATATCGCAGCTACGATATACTATGTTCTGTTGTTCTGAATAACTTCGATGGTTCCCGATCGAATGCGCATGTATTGCAGTTGAGATGCCAGACATACTTGACCCCGTTCTCCTATCTATATACGTGTGAAAGTGCCTTTGTCCGTTACAGTATAGAACGCATTTACAGATATAGAAAAGAACATCGTATATAGAAAAGATTATCGATATCGTAGATAGAATAGCAGATATTACGTAAAGCAATAGCGTTAAAAAAATATAATAATATATATGGCTAAAAATCCGGCATGCACGTAGAATAGACCTAGGCATAGATAAAGCGGAAATGTCAGTGTCGATTTCTGGTAATATATATAAAACGTATTGTCAAATGACCTCAGTTCACTTTCGCCAACCAGCCATTGTGTATTTTGACCGTTTTCTTATTGAAAAATGATGATTTTCTACCTAGAACGATAGAAGAATGATAATGCTATGATAATAATTCTCATGCATAATTACTTTATAAACGAAAAAAAAGTTTATTCCCCCAATTTCAAAGTACATGAATGAAAGCTATTTCTAAATATCTTAAACAGGCCAAAATGGTAATTATAAAATGAGAAATGTAAGAACAAAATATTAAATAGTAATTATCCTTTTGAAATGTTTCAGATAACAATTATCGCGACCGTAATTAGAAATAGCCTGCAAGCTTCTGCGTGGCGACTGCGCCGCGATCACCGCATATCTCAAGTCGACCGCGTGCATTGAATGCTCAGATATACACCAACAACGTTCAGCCGGCGCGATTACGAAATGCAGCTGGAGCCCGCGTTCGTAAATCCAACTTCGCGCGCAAAAGCGAGGACAAAGCCTCGTCGAACCTTCCCAGCAAAACCGAACGAAACGTGGAATTCACCTTCTCGCACGCGATCCGGCTCGGAAAGCAGTTAATCAGCTCGCAGCACGCGTGCTCTCGAAGCACGGTGCTTGAAGTTCTCCCGATCCTGTCCTTCGTAAGTCTCTAACGATGGAAACTTCCGTGAACAAGTGGCACGGCAACGGGAAGACTCTAAGCTGGAGCTACGAGAACAGCGCCGCGCTGGAACTCAGCGATGAAGACAGCTGCGCCGACGACGTCGACGACGACGACGGCGACGACTTCGGTAAATATCTCCCCGACGACGACGACGACGATGCGCCACCTGGTGTCTACCCGACGCACTGCTGCGGTAGTAGCAAACGGCGGGGCGGCATAACACAGAGTTACATCGTCGACGTGCTTCAGCCGACAACGAACGTGAAACGCGTGTCGATTAAGTCGAACGATCGCCGATCGACGTCACGAATGTCGATGCGACGTCGCCTAGCGGACACGCTCACGCAGAATCCATGCGCCGACGACGACGAGAGTGAAATTCACGCGTCACCGGAAGCAGCGAAAGAATCGCCGGAAGCAGCGAAAGAATCGCGTTCGACGCCGGACTTTGTAAAAATATTCGAGGTAGCCGACCACATTAAGAGCAAGCAGACGCAGAGACTACCTGCGCTCGAGCAGTTAGGTGCACGCGAAGTGCACACGCAGACATCTCTTGTCGACGACAGCGTCGGCCATAGTAGCTTCAACTTTAAATTTGCAACGTTCAACCAGTTTTACACGGGGACGCGCGGCGCATTCGAACGACGTCGCCATGGCGACGACGACGATGACGATATCGGGGGGCAATATCTACGATCGATGAGCGCGCAAACGTCAAAGCATTTATGGAAGAAGCTGACGTTTACCGGATTCGGAATTAAATAGAGAGTGTAAATTGCTTAATTAATAACGTCAGTGGTTTCAATGTATGATTCACCTGAAAAATGGGGGTATAGTCAATCTAACAAATATTTCGCGAAAATATGTGCAACGACAAAAAAGAAGGGTCGAGGGAGATTGTTGTGGTGAAGAGAAGGGCAGCCATTAAATGGAGCGCGAGGTCAAAGTGTTACGGATACGAATTGGCGTAGCGTTGTTTCATAGAATCCACGTGTAAATAACTGACCATACACAAACTTCAGTTTTGTATACACTACGGACAGCTTTCAAACACATTAATCTCTGACCGTGTTGTGAACGTAACTCATTAAAATTAACCCTGTTAGATCTAGCTTTCAAACACAAATCAAAATTACATATCATACATTATAAATCATATCTCAAATAAATTCAAATAAATCAAGAAAATAATAAATGCAGATAAATTCATGTCTTACCGGACAGCGCACATATTATTACTGATTACTTCAGCCTAAAAGAATTGCGAGTTTCTGCTGTTATAGGCTGTAGAAGCTGCTGTAGCCTATATATATATATAGGTTATATGCTATAAATGAACAGCAAACATGCGCCTGCTATCTGGAGGTTCGCGATAGTGGAATTTTCAAACGTTCACGCAAAACAAGTGGCGCGTAGATATACGTTACGCAAATATTTATAGCGCGGTACCTATCTCGATATGTAGACAAAGATAACATAGTGAAGAGAGAGAGAGAGAAAGAGAGAGAGAGAGGGAGAGAGAGAGAGAGAGAGAGAGAGAGAGAGAGAGAGAGAGAGAGAGAGAGACGACGTACGGTACGGTACGGAGTGACACTACACGACGAACGTAACTAACCAACGTCCCGGTCGTACCGTTTCGGTTTTTGGTTACGGTACTAA